GATGCCACAGGGTGTAGGTTTCTCATTGTTGATGTTGCACACACTGAACGATGGGAATCATTCAAAGCACCACAGATTCCATATATCAACGAAGTTGGTCTTGCTTTTGTGTCAAATGATGATGAACTCATTCAAGGTTTTCAAGACTGGTCCATGTATCGACAATTGGATGACGTTTTGAACTGGGAGTTTTGTCAATGGATTCGTGATTGGTCACTTGAGCGTGAACTGGAGGATCAGATGAGCGTTGCCTTCCCAGCAGAGATCATTGAAGAGGCTCAGGAACATGGTGGGAACTGGGATGCAGTCGATGGCCCAGAAGATGTTGCATTGCAGGATCCGGTTCAGGACCTGACACATGAAGAAACTCTTTTGGATGAAGTTGATAGCCCTGGTTTGCCAGAGGATGAAACAGAAAGACGTAGGTCTTGGCGTAAACTTCCCCAGCGTGTCAGGATTGCTGTGCGTAGGTTGCACAGGGCTTTTGGACATGTCCCCAAGTCGGTGATGGTCAATTTGGTGCGTGCTGCAAAGGTGAGCAAGGAGTTTGTTGATGCAGTGAAGTTGCATAGATGTGAAACATGTGAGAAAACATCAGCAAAGAAACCCACTCATAAAGTCACGCTTCCAAGTGATTATACATTCAACGATACTTTGGGGATTGACGCACTGGAGTTGACAGATGTAACTGGGCAGAAGTATCAAGTTCTCAACATGGTTTGCATTGGTACTTGTTTTCAACAGGCTGAAGTCGTGAAGGTTGGAGCAGGTCAAGCTTCTTCGCGATCCTGTTTGGACGCACTCATCAAACGTTGGTTCAGTTGGGCAGGACATCCTGTTGCTATCATGTGTGACCGTGGATTGCACAATCGTGGTGTCTTGCAACAATACATGGATGAACACAACATTCAAGTGCACCATGTGCCCCTTGAGAGCCCGGAATCATTGGGCCGAGTAGAGAGGCATGGTGGTTTGTTGAAAGCTCTTTTCAGGCGAGTGTGTACAGAAGTTGGGGCTTGTACCAAAGAACAGGTTGAGTCGTGCATCACACAGGTGCTCAGTGTGAAGAACGGCTCTGCACGTGTTGGAGGTTTTTCTCCATCTCAGTGGGTGCTTGGTCGAGCTCCCCGTGGTGTAGCTTCACTCATGTCTGAGGAAGACCATGCACAGCTCGGAGCCATTCAGGCCCGACATGATCCTTCATCAATTTTTGCATTACAACACTTGGCCAGGATTGAGGCACAAAAGGCTTTTGTTCATCTTGATTGTTCAAGAAGAGTTCAACGAGCGTTGACACGCAATGCCAGTGTGTTCGATCGTGAGTTCAACATTGGTGACCTCGTCACTTTCAGACGAGACAATCAACGAGGAGGAACTTCCTGGTCACCAACATGTCGTGTGATCGGACACGAGAACCAGAAGAACATATGGTTGCTATGTGGTAACGTTCCAGTACTTGTAGCTTCTCACAACATACGCATTGCTTCTCCTTCTGAAGCTCTTGCTCAATCAGTGTTGAATGGTGAACCTGTGATTCCATACAAGATCATCAATGATACAGGTCAACAAGCGTTTCTTGATGCAAGGCAAGCAGATGAGGTTGAAGTTGTTCGTGAAGGTCCAGGACAAACAGACGATGTTGAAGTTGTCCATGAGGACAATGCGGAGTCAGCACTTCCTCCTATACCAGAAGTACCTGAAGATGAATGGGACATACGGCCTGGTTTCTTTGAGGAAGGTGAGGAGGAGGAAGACACAGGACCAATGCAGGAGGACATCTTCTCATTGAGCAGAACTCCAGAGAGAAGGGTTGAAAGACCACATCCAGGAGATGAAGGTTATGAACGCAATGTGAGACCTCGAGTTGAGGCTCACCCACAACCTGAGTCTGAGAGAGGTTCATCACTTGGACCATCTCGGAGAGACTCCCTTGTGCCTGGTCCTACTTCAAGTGGCTCCGTTTCGGGGGCGCCACCTTTTAGTGGCTCCGTTTCGGGGGCGCCACCTTTTAGTGGCTTCGTCCCAGGAACATTACAAGCTCCGTCTCCATCGTCATCTTGGCCATCACGAAGAGATCTTTTGAATGACTTGCCTGAACAATTGCGAGCACATCTTGAGAGAGCTCGTGAGAGAGACTCAGAACGGAATGCTGAAGAACAACAAGAAGCACGAGCATTGTTTGCATCATTTTTGTCCCAGGAGGTTGGAGTTCCTGAGGACGAGGGGTTAGGCAAGAAAGTGTTGAAATCAATCCACTATGAATCAGCGCCACCTGATGTACAGAAGAACATCATGGACGCCAGAACCAAGGAGTGGAACAAGTTCCTTGAGTTCGCTGCTGTTGTTGAAATTTCAAAAGAAGATGCTGAGAGATTGATTGCAGAAGGACATCAATGTATTCCTAGCAAGTGGGTTGATGTTGATAAGAACCAATTTATGAAGGGAAGAGCAGACCAAGAATATGTGCCAAAGTTCAAAAGCCGGTTGGTGTCATGCGGCAATTTCGAAGTCAGTGAAGGTTTGAGATCAGACAGTCCTACAGCAGACACGGAAGCTCACAACATACTTTGCTGTTGGGCGGCGATCCAGGGTGCACAATTGCACAGTGCGGACGTCGCATCCGCATATTCCCAAGGTCGTCCTCTCGACAGAGTCCTCATTATGAGACAACCCCGAGGAGGTCCCCCGGGAGTTGATCCAGAGGTGTTTTTCCTTGTGAGAGTGCCTGTGTACGGATTAACTGACAGCGGTCGAGGTTTTTGGTTGAGACTGGACGGAGATGCCCGATCCAGTGGCTTGAAACAATCCAAGTTTTACCCAGGATTGTATTTCCTTCCAGGAACCGACAAAGATTGCGTTGCACTTATGGCGACTCATGTAGATGACATCTTGTACGCATACATTCCCGAGGGAAAGTCAGTGATCGACAGCTTCTTGGAGAAGTTCAACTTGGGATCTAGTGAATCAAATTCGTTTCGCTATTGTGGCAAGCAATTTGAGCGTACTGCAGATGGAACAATCACTCAAGACACTTGCGACAACACCCGTCGCATCAAGCCGATCAAGATCGCGCCAGGAAGATCAGCGTCCGAGCCGTTGGGTAAGGATGATGTTACCCGATTACGGTCTGTTACGGGATCATTGGCATGGGTGGCAAGGCAGACTAGACCCGATTTGGGTTATCGGTTATCGTGTGAGCCGCCTACAGTCCAGTATTTCTGGAGCGACAGTTGCTATTTTGCACGACGCAAATGCCGTAGTACAGCTGGCGCAACAAGGCATTGAGAACAAGCTCATCTTTCCAGGTGGACATCTAACCTGGGGAGAGGTTGGTATCATTACCGTAACAGATGCTTCATTTTCAAATGAGAAGAACTACAAATCACAACAAGGTCGTTTCCATTTTCTCGGAGACATCAATGAAATCAAAGACCCCAAGACTACATCCTACAGGGTGATGCCATTGGGATTTGCATCAAATACAATTCGGCGAGTATGCCGCAGCACTCTTCAATGCGAAGCTTATTCACTGCAGGCTGGACAAGAGAGCGGTGACAAGCTACGTGGAGCATTGGCCGAGCTGATGGGCCAACTTGACTCGATGAAAACATGGTTGGATGACAGCCGCAGCTGTATTCCACAACTGATGCTTTCAGACTGCAGGTCTTTAACAGACCATCTTGCGAGTGAGGTACTCGGCAGGGTCGCAGACAAACGACTCGGCATTGAGTTGCTGTCAATTCATGAGTCACTTTGGCAAGACGGCCGGAGGACCTGGGATATGCATCATGGCGGAGGAGACATTGTTACCTGGATTGCTACAGGAACTATGGTCTCGGATGCTCTGACCAAGAGCATGCGCCCGGACCTCATCATCCGCGTTTTGAAGGAGTGCATTTACCGTGTACAGAAGAAGCCTTAGAGCCAACTTTTTCACTAGCATCATGTGATCCTTGAAGAACAGGTTGAGTGTGAGTTTGACCTGTCTAATGTATATTTTGTATAGCCAAGTGATCACATGCCCCCGTTGACATTTGGCTTTAGGGCCCTTGAGTCATACCGCGCTGCCGTGGTAAAAGTTGGGCACTAACGATCCCGTTTCCAATTCAGACCATTATCATACTTATGTTCATACCGCCAGACACGCACAGGGTAGTGGATAGTCCCCGTTGGTTCATGGTCGGCTGGCGGTTGGTTTACGCGAAAACGACGACGCCAATACATAAAACCAGTTTAAAACCACGAGGTGGGGGGCCTCACATTTGTCTCACGCTTTGCTCACTGCTGCTAAAAGCACCAGGTTCCACACATTTCTGTGGTAAATTCAGCACATTCAGCTAAAGGTCATTCACTAAAGGTCATCCACTTTAGAGCATAGCAGCTGGCGTGATAAAATGATGAATCATCATGAATCATCCCCTTCAGATCATAATATAAGGTAAGTTATAAGCATGGATTAGGTAAAACCACGACGTTGTGCTGGATCATGATTAAACCACGACCCAGACATGTTGGGGTAATTTCATCACTTGTATTGATGGTAATTATGCGACGCCTTTGCATACTGGGCATGCAAAGATATATTGTATAATAAGTGAATGTATTGGTAAACTTGTCTTATATGGATATATTATATATGGCTGGTGGTTTCACGTATCAATGTCCTTTCTATCCGTACCTGGGATGACTGCAAGTGGCCCACATGGGATAATCCTTGACGACGTCATCCGATCTGGTTTCATGGGGATCATGATAGAAATATAAACTATATAACATTATATAACCCATAGTAGGGAAACCTATTGGCCAACCAGTATAGATGGGATAGATTGGGATAGGGTATTTAATCACAAATAAATATTTCAATGATGATAATGACTGTACAAATGATCAAGCACAGTCAAAAACGAAACCATCGGGTTCCTTAGACGGAAGGCATCTCAGTTTGTTCCGTCCGTCCTTTGGGGATTTGCATGCCGATTTTGCATGCAGATCTTCAGGTGCAAAAGTTGAAAAAGGCCAACAGGAAACTGGACACCGCTCAGACTCTCCAGCTGCTAAGCACACCAGAGAGCTCCAGGCGTTTCTTCGTTTCGTGGAATGTAACTTTGCCTCTGTTGAAACTTCGGAGTTCCATCGCTGTCCCGAAGTCGGTACTGCAATTGAGATGGACGATTGGGCTACATAGTACATAGTTGGTTAGTGAGCGGGTTGTCTCTAATCTATCAGCATTCGCAGCATTCCCCACTTTTATAATTTGAATTGCGCACAGCATTCTAACATGTTCCAACATGTTCCCACCGCTTCGCCAATGACCCACGGATTACATCCGTAGGCTTCGTGTTGGAAAGCCGCCTAGGTGACGAGGGTGGCTTCACGGAGTGGATGGGGCGTGTTCGCGAGCGGTGGCAGGCCAAACTCGAATGTCTTGATGGTCGTGATGAGGTGAGGCCAACAAGGCCCAACAAGCTCCCTGAGACCATGGAGCAGGGCATTCCTGAGACAGCCGATTTTTGCGTGCCCTTAAACGAGCTGCAAAGGTCCAAGGTTTGTCCCCTTTTTGGGCATGGATGGCATGGCGCAGAAAAAAGCAGGTGCATGTTGAGTTTGTAAGATCGCAATCGAAGGGCAAACGCAAATGATGAAAGCTTGGTTGCTGACTTTTCAAGTCATCCATAAAATGTGCTGGTTTGGCCAGCTTGATTTTGTTTCTCGCCGCATGAGCACAGACTGGTATAGCTGTTGCGTTCCACATGCGCGTGGCTTTGCCAGTTGGTTGAGAAGTGATTTTGCAAGCAGAGGCCTTAAAGCACATGCAGTTGGGTTCGATGGCCATGTAACGTGTAGTTATATAGTTAGACCAGATTAGATTTTTGGGCACTATTGGGCCCAATTCGCACATTGGTTGGATGATATTTGAATGAGACGGGCATGACACCCCTGCAGCTTTCATGCTACCTGCGATCCCTGAAAGTTTTCCATTCGAATTTTTGCAGATGAACTGTGGCCCGTTGTGCCGCTAATCCCAGAGCAAGAGATGTTGGTGAATGTTGGTGATGCAATCCCAAAATAGCCCAAAGGCTTCGCGACAAATGGATGAACCATTGGGGCATTGCAATGGATGAACGGATGATATCAGACCGGCACGGACGGCAGACAGATATGCATTTGACATGTTCTGTTTGACTCCTCACTATGGACAGATGACAGCTGTCGTTTGACGAATTTCAGGCAATGATCATTAAATCGCCAAGAGGGCCAACAACTCTTGTTTTTAAGGAATAGTATGTGGGTGGAAGCCCATCCGATGTGCGACCGAAGCCTTAAGCCCCTAAACTTCAGAAAGGTGTAGGGCCACCGTTCGCTAGACTATCACCCATTAGATTGATGATTATCCCAATCTGCAACTGAAAGAGGAACATATCAATAGATACCTGCCAGTAAACTAATAGCGATAGAAAATGCTCCAATTATTTGAATAATCAAGGTCCTTGATTATTTAGATAATTTGCTATTTACCGTTAAACATGGTGATTTTTCATAGCTAAGTTAAATTACCAGAGGGTAAGCAATTTGGAAACACAATGTTTTTAGTTGAATCAGCGGTTTCAAGGTGCACCTTGAATTTCTGGTGGGGTAGCTCGTGTGGTGTTTTCTGGAGACTCAACATATGTCGTCAACCCCGGAAAATGAGGAAAACCCTTGTTCATTAGTAAGGGGCATCCCAATTTTACTGTAACGTACTATAAATAGCAGTTTGTATTTTTTGCAGGCAATTTGTCAATATTACGTATACATGCATATTGATTTTGAGGATCCCTAATCAATCAAGCGGGTTTATTAATTCAGAGTTGACACAATCAACTTTGCCATCAACGTAGCTCCCTTGCTGCTGATGCTAATTGACGTCTTGTAGACTTGCGCTGCACCTATTAGGCCATTGTGGATGGGGCAACAGAGAGTTACCATGTGTCAGTTTCTATGGGGGGAATTCCCTAAGTCGCCTCCAACTTCCACCTGGCCCTGTTTTAGGATTGCCAGAGCGTCTTAAGATCTCACGAGCTGGCAACATCTGGCCACCACTGACAGTCGTGAGCATCAAGACATATCAAGACTATAAGTACTGTCAGTCTGCGGCAGAATCGCCAAGCTTCCGCATTGCTTGCTCACTTGTCTTCAAGGAGCCGAAACAGTTACAATCATGTACATTTTGGATATGCAAGCTATATACCTATATATGGTCCCGTCCTCCGTCTCTCCACCCCCCCATGGATTGGGTCCCCAGGTACCACCCCCCCTTCCCTTGTATTTGCAAGCTATTGGCAGCATTTCTGAGGTCCAGCTTCGTATTTGCTAGGTCTTTGCAGCATTTCTGACTACCAGCCTCGCATTTACTAGGTACATACTACCTTTTCGGCGACCTACGCAGCACACATACGCCCTCAAAGTACCCACGTGACGCCTACGTGCTGTCAATAGTCATATATACATGTGCTATGTATCTACTTCCTATTTACTACCTGTGTACTCTGACAACATTACATGTGTTTTACATATAGCGTACCTACCATACATTCCAATCATGCCATGCATACCATACCTATCATACCTATCACACATACCACACATACCATACATATGAAACATAATTGCCACACCTACCATACATACAATAGAAAATATACATGCTATACATACCATACCTACCATACATACCAAACATACCATACTTTCCAAACATGCCATACCAGACCGACCATACACACCATACATACCCAACATACCATACCACACCCCCACCACACCACAGGGGGGGAGGGGGACAGTACCACACCCCCACCACACCACAGGGGGGGGAGGGGGAAGATCTCAATATGGGACCCATCCCATGGGGGGGGAGGGGGGTGGCAAGGCCTGGTGCATATATATAATATATATATATATATGTACGATGGACCTTCATGTACTATTTGACCGTTGACTATTTGATTCCATTTCAAATTGAAAGCAATCTCCCAAAACCAAAAAGAGGTTCAGAGAGACTTTTGGGAGAAGTTCATTATATTTTGAATATTTTGAATATTTTGAATATTTTGAAATTCAAAAAATTCAAATATTCAAAATATTTTTGTATTGGCTAAATTTTTTGAATATTTTGAATATTTTGAAATTCAAAAAATTCAAAATATTCAAAATATTCAAAATATTTAAAAATAATGAAATCACCAAAAAAGAGGTTCAGAGAGACTTTTGGGAGAAGTTCATTATATTTTGAATATTTTGAAATTCAAAAAAAACAAAATATTCAAAATATTTTTGTATTGGCTAAATTTTTTGAATATTTTGAATATTTTGAAATTCAAAAAATTCAAAATATTCAAAATATTCAAAATATTTTAAAAATGAAATCACCAAAAAAGAGGTTCAGAGAGACTTTTGGGAGAAGTTCATTATATTTTGAATATTTTGAATATTTTGAATATTTTGAAATTCAAAAAATTCAAAATATTCAAAATATTTTTGTATTGGCTAATTTTTTTGAATATTTTGAAATTCAAAAAATTCAAAATATTCAAAATATTCAAAATATTTAAACAATAATGAAATCACCAAAAAAGAGGTTCAGAGAGACTTTTGGGAGAAGTTCATTATATTTTGAATATTTTGAATATTTTGAAATTCAAAAAATTCAATATTCAAAATATTTTTGTATTGGCTAATTTTTTTGAATATTTTGAATTCAAAAAATTCAAAATATTCAAAATATTTTTGTATTGGCTAAATTTTTTGAATATTTTGAATATTTTGAAATTCAAAAAATTCAAAATATTCAAAATATTTTTGTATTGGCTAATTTTTTTGAATATTTTGAAGATTTTGAAATTCAAAAAATTCACAATATTTTTGTATTGGCTAAATTTTTTGAATATTTTGAATATTTTGAAATTCAAAAAAATCAAAATATTCAAAATATTTAAAAAATGATGAAATCACCAAAAAAGAGGTTCAGAGAGACTTTTGGGAGAAGTTCATTATATTTTGAATATTTTGAATATTTTGACTATTTTGAATATTTTGAAATTCAAAAAATTCAAAATATTCAAAATATTTTTGTATTGGCTAAATTTTTTGAATATTTTGAATATTTTGAAATTCAAAAAATTCAAAATATTCAAAATATTTTTGTATTGGCTAATTTTTTTTGAATATTTTGAAATTTTTGAAATTCAAAAAAATCAAAATATTCCAAGTATTTTTGTATTGGCTAATTTTTTTTGAATATTTTGAATATTTTGAAATTCAAAAAATTCATTTTTGAATATTTTGAATTTTTGAAATTCAAAAAATTCAAAATATCAAAATTTTTTTGTATTGGCTAATTTTTTGAATCTTTTGAATAATTTTTAAATTTCAAAAAATTCAAAATATTCAAATTTTTTGTATTGGCTAATTTTTTTGAAATTTTGAATATTTTTGAAA